TCAATCAATACACACCACGCCCAGTCATACAACATGACCACAGCACAGGATCATCAGGTGACACTGCTCAATCAATACACGCCACGCCCAGTCATACAACATGACCACAACACAGGATCATCAGGTGACACTGCTCAATCAATACACACCACGCCCAGTCATACAACATGACCACAACACAGGATCATCCGGTGACACTGCTCAATCAATACACGCCACGCCCAGTCATACAACATGACCACAACACAGGATCATCCGGTGACACTGCTCAATCAATACACGCCACGCCCAGTCATACAACATGACCACAACACAGGATCATCCGGTGACACTGCTCAATCAATACACGCCACGCCCAGTCATACAACATGACCACAACACAGGATCATCCGGTGACACTGCTCAATCAATACACGCCACGCCCAGTCATACAACATGACCACAACACAGGATCATCCGGTGACACTGCTCAATCAATACACGCCACGCCCAGTCATACAACATGACCACAACACAGGATCATCCGGTGACACTGCTCAATCAATACACGCCACGCCCAGTCATACAACATGACCACAACACAGGATCATCCGGTGACACTGCTCAATCAATACACACCACGCCCAGTCATACAACATGACCACAACACAGGATCATCCGGTGACACTGCTCAATCAATACACACCACGCCCAGTCATACAACATGACCACAACACAGGATCATCAGGTGACACTGCTCAATCAATACACAATACGCCCAGTCATACAACATGACCACAACACAGGATCATCAGGTGACACTGCTCAATCAATACACACCACGCCCAGTCATACAACATGACCACAACACAGGATCATCAGGTGACACTGCTCAATCAATACACGCCACGCCCAGTCATACAACATGACCACAACACAGGATCATCAGGTGACACTGCTCAATCAATACACGCCACGCCCAGTCATACAACATGACCACAACACAGGATCATCAGGTGACACTGCTCAATCAATACACACCACGCCCAGTCATACAACATGACCACAACACAGGATCATCAGGTGACACTGCTCAATCAATACACGCTACAATCATAATCGTCAGTCGTACATAATATCACGAGCCGCACTTAATTATTAAAAGTTTCGCCTGTCTGACATTTGTCAAAATCTGGGGGGTGTCTGGATTTATCGTAGGACTGGCCGATTGTATCACGTGGTCAGAGTGATTTGATTTTTGGAAATACCAGAGTTCGATGATACATTAGAAGCATACCGCTAATTTCTTTTATCCAAAAAATGCATACCGCACAAATCCAGCCGCATGAAGCAACCATCAATTACCATTTAGGATCATCACAAAAGTATACCATTTAGATACCATTCCACATTAAATTAATTTGCTACAGAAGTACTATATATATTTAGGACCATCGAGTCGTCCGGTGACTGATGACTTGCGCAGGTGACTTTTGTTTAAAGTGAGGAAGGGTTGCGCGGCGTCAACCTCACTCGCTCTTCCGGGGAAACCATATCCAGTGGCAAGACTCTAGGTCAAGACGGATCGGTCGGTTGCAGGAATTTCCATTGTATTCGCCTTACAGGACTCTAGCTCCAGGTTTAAATTCTCTTAGATGAGTTGTCGACCCAGGTTATCGATGTTGTTGCTTGACTGGCCTTTGGCTGAAATTTAACTCCAGGCCACCAGCTTGAGGTTTGCTGAGTTTGTACCATTAGGCCATCCATTCACCCAGTACTATATATGTATATAGTACATATCCATCCAGTCACCCAGTGCTATATATAGTTATACCGTTTAAATACATTCTGATCATGATGTCCCTTAGTCCTTGGACCGTTTGGGCGCCACAGATGATTTTAAAATAGTCTTTCTCCATTCCTCTCCTTTTTCTGCACTTCACACAGCATTACCTAAAGTCCCGTCCACTCTTTGATGTTATCTGCCCTTTTTTCCCCTCTGTCTTCCTCTTCTTCTCCCTCCTCTCGTCGAGTCCTGTATGATTTCTTTGACGAGCCCTTCTTTTCTTGTCACGTGGCCATACCATTCCAGTTTGCCCTTTTTTACAGTCACCAGGAGGTCATCGTACTGCCCAATTGCTTGACGAATCCTTTCTTTCACTTGTTTGTTAAGGATATGGTCTCTATAGCAGATTCCAAGAATTCTTCCCCCCCATCGCCTTTATTTTTCTTTCAAGTTCTGCTGTTAATGTCCAGGACGCACAGGCATACAAGAAAAGGAGAGGATATCAGCCTGATTTTGGTGCTGGGGGCTACATATTTTGTCATTCCACATTCTCTTATGCCTCTTTAGTGCATTATTGGTCTGGGCATACCTGAAACCATTTCGGGCTTGGAGCCTTCTTCCGAGACTATTGCTTCTAGGTATTTGAAGCTGAATACTGTCTCTAATCTTTCCTCCCCGACCTTCATTTCAGTGCCGGCTGTGTTATCCCTCATCAATTTTGTATTTTCTGCACTGATCTACATGCCACAGGACGATGAAGTCTTGTCAAGACGCTTTACTAGGTTGGCCAGCTCTTCTTCGTTTCCAGCCAGTCCATCTATGTTTTCCGCAAAACCGTAGGTTGGAGATTGTTCTGCCAACAATGCTGAGTGTCCCTACATGCGCTTCCAGGGCATCTGACATAATTCTCTCCAAGAAGAAAATACATTCTATCAAACACTAAATTATAATAACATTTATATGATATCACCATGGTATATAATTTAGAGGTTGCCACCTTGGAATAGAGTAAGATTTCAGCAACCGTGGTCAATAATTTATATGATTCCACCATAGTATGCAATTTAGATGCTGTCCGTAACTAACATACATCCTGGTCGGGGTTTAAGCATACGCTCTTAAAACCTTGGCCAGTACACCACGGGCAGAAAGTTCCATCTGCTGGGCAGTGCAGTATAACATTGCCGTGGCCGCCCTGGCCGTCCCTCTGACATCTAGTGCTGAGCACTCGGCGCTAGAGGTTCTGGGACCAGGCTGCAATGCTATTAGCTGCCACGAAAGGACACAGTGCGCATTGTCAACATTAACAATTGTTTTATTATTCAAACCCCCTTTTGGTATTTTGCGTGACATTCACTCGGCGGGTCGGGGAGACAGACGCCCCTGTTGGCTTTGTATAGTCCGAAACTATTATTTCCCGAGTGCACAGCTAGTAGACCTTCTTGAATGCATTTAATACTTGATGTGATTGATCGTTGTAAAGCACGAAATACAGTTTGCTCGTTTTTGGACGAAACGGTTAAAATAAGTAGTGTATCTTGTCCTCACATAGTTCCAATTTTAGTCATAATCTAGAAAGAGGAACATGTTAATAAAATGTTTTTATAATGGTAAAATGTTGTCTTCGTTAAAATGAGTGCTCAGTGGGTCCTTCTGACGTGGACGTGTGTGATCTTTGGCTTCCGGAAGCAAGTCCGTACTAGTCAGCAACGCCACGAAGAGGCAGATCACGTGTACACCACTCGAGCAAAGTGGTGTTGGTTTCCCCCGTCGGCACGAGCAGCCGACCTGGATCCACCATGCTGCAATCGTACTACTTGGTCATGAGTAATAGTGGTTTGAGCAAAATGTCTTCCTCCCAGTGAAAGAGGGCTTTGCGTCGCCCCCCCCCCTAGCTCAGTGGGTCCTTCTGACATGGACGTGTGTGATCTTTGGCTTCCGGATGTTAATCCGTACTGGTCAGCAACGCCACGTAGAGGCAGATCACGTGTACACCACTCGAGCAAAGTGGTGTGGGTTTCCCCAGCCGGCACAAGCAGTCGGCCTGGGGAAATCCTGCTGCAATCGTACTACTAAATCAGCCATGATATATCGTACTACTAAATCAGCCATGATATATCGTACTACTAAATCAGCCATGATATATCGTACTACTAAATCAGCCATGATATATCGTACTACTAAATCAGCCATGATATATCGTACTACTAAATCAGCC